CTGTCCAGTTCACCTAGTCTCAAACCAATGTTTTAATCTTTCTATAACTTGTGGTTTCAAGAAGGTATTAACTCAACATGTATGTTTACAAGCCGTGTGGCTAAGAATAATAGGGATTCGCACACTAAGGTTAATACCACATTCAAGCCAGGTATTAACTCTGCGTATGTTTACAGCTCTTTTGGCTAGAAAAAAATCGGGATTGTTACACCAAGAAAGAACCACAAAGGCGCTCGTGTTGACTTGAGCGACTTTAGTCCATCTGGCTCGTCGGATGTCGACGTGGATGCAGAGTTAGCTGCTCTCTTGAAGGAAAGCAGTCCAGATAATTCACAGGAATTAAAACAAAAAGGAGTCCTTGAAGATATACTCCAAGAGTTTGATCTGGAGGAAACTTTTTCCGCTCCAGTGGATACTAATTTGGCCTCCATTGTAAACAAATTAGCGAGGTCAAAAATGACTGATGACAAGTTGGAARAAAAACTTGACAAGTACAATCGTCCTCAGAACTGTGAGAAGCTGGTTACACCTAAGGTGAACAGCGAGATTTGGGCTAAAATTAGCTCCTCAACAAGTAGCAGAGATGTAAAGCTTCAAAAAATACAAACTATGTTGATGAAAGCGACAACTATGCTTGTCGGACTCGCTGATAAACTTGTTAAGGACGGAAAAGATAACTCGGCTATTAAGTCAATGCTTGATAGCATTGCTTTCATATCTCATGCTAATAGTAAGATAAGCCACAGACGCCGAGATTTCATAAAGCCTGATCTGAATAAGGCATATCAGCAAATTTGATCTGATSAAGTTGAGATAACTGATAACTTGTTTGGTGATGACCTACCCCAAYTGACCAATGCAGGATGTCAACCGATTTCAGTGAACAGCCAAGAGCTGTTCTATTTTACTTTATRCGTATTCAATGTGGGATGACAARAGTGCTTTTATCTCTAAACATATTTGTACGGTAATTTCTCCAGAATTTTAACGGATTTGAGTTTCAAATTAGTGTTGGAGTTTTTGAAGCCGTTTGAAACACTCGAGATCGTGTTTTATCAGGTATAAAGATTCTACCTGATAAAACACTCTCTCTCGTGTTTTAAACTATACATAGATTTGTCATGAATTGCATACGACTTTAACTTCGAATTTCTCTCAAAATGATATTTTATCTTGACGTTCTTTCCAAAATATTCTCTAGCTCAATTCTTCAGAAAGCTGAAAATTTGTTCGTCGAGGTTTGCTGGGAGTGGCGGACATTCAAAATGAGAAATTGCGCATGGAATGTTTTGCGAAAAATAGCCATGACTTGACGTCAAACAAAAAAAGTTGCGGTACGACCCCTGTTACACTGCAATTTTCAGCAACTTTAATCTCGGTCGCGTAACACATTTTTCGTAATTCTCTTCCGGTAATTTTTTCGTGCTTACCTTCTCTTGTACTTCTTCGTTCTTGTGTAGGTGTAAACTGGCATAATTCATGGACTAAAGAAAAAATAGTAAGCATGAACGTTCTGTGACGAGCGGCGAACATATTTCATATTACCACGTGAACATAAAATGACAACAGGAGTTCAAAACACCACTATTAGAAGTCTAATGGAA